ATTTCAATTACGAATCACCAATTTATCATGTGTTATATTTCCATCATCATCATCGTTTTTATGTACTACCGTCCGTATTCCACCATCTAGAGTAAAATTATTATCACATTACAATTATCAATCTCGTACAGCATCTACTAATGAAAAATCTCTCACAACATCTTTATCTTCACTTTTACCAGCTTCACAAAGTACTACCTTTCGTTCGAACGAATCATCGCTAACTTCACCATTTAAATGGGGTGTTCCGAAAACAAAAAGAAAACGAAAAGCTACTGAACGAGATTCAATTGATGAATATTTTGAAGACAAATACCAAGCCATCGAATCGACTAGTTTCTCAACGAAGCCACCAATTAAATACACGTTACGTCCAAGAAAGTCAATAGAGCAGTTTGATGCCTATTCTTCCGATTCATCGAATTCATCTGAGGATAACAACCACAATTTATCCACACAATTATCATCAGGAAATACGAATCGAAAAGAAGATAATAACCGTATCATCACTTATTGGAAATTAAAACACAATATATCTGATCACGCGGTGAATGAATTACATAAAATCCACTCTTCTATACCAACTATTTGGTCAATAAGAAATGTACGTAAAAGATTAAACAATAATATACATGTGAAGAATACAGAATTTGGCTCATATATTACGATGGAAGATGCTATTAAAACTTTAATTCATATAAATGCCTCTATAATCACAAAAATACGAACAGCTATGACGATACGCTTATCTATTGATGGCACACAAATAGGCGAAAAGTTAAAACTACTTGTATTATGTATTAGCTGCCCACAATTTAATTCAACACAGCAAGTTTCATCCAAATTATTACCAATAGGATTATTTAAAATTGACGTAGAAGATTATGAAACAGTCAAAAAAGTTATACCAAATGAGATTATTCGTAGTATAATTCAAGAAAGAAAATTAATTATTAATGATGAACGATTTTCGATTAAGTTTAGGCGAGTATTCTTCATTGATTAATGATGCATGAAGAAGCCGAGGGAATATTCTTTAGTGATGAGCATTTAGATTTTTATTTTAGACTAGCATGTGACTACAAAATGTTACTGCTATTATTTGGACTCAATGCGGTTAGCGGTACGTATTTCTGTCCATGGTGTAAAGTAACGGCGGCAAATATTGGTCAATTAGGAAGTTTTTCTGCATTTGACAAGAACAGAGAAGCAAGAAATATGGAAGAGGCGAAGGAAGAGTTAAAAAGGTATTGAGTTTTGTTTGGCTTCATACTCAGACTCTAACTGAATAATGTTATTTTTTTAGAAATAGTGGTAAAAGAAGATATGGATATAAAAATGAACCAATATTTGGAACTCGATTCCGGTAAAAATTATTCAAGCTGTTAAACAGAGTAGAACTCTAACCATATTGTTGTTGCTCATTCAGTTTTCAAGATGCACGACCCGATCTGTTTCATTGTGAACATAGAGTGCATGATATATTTATGAAACATATTATTGGACTTGTGAATGAACAGTATGATATGTACAATAAAGATCAAGTTGAGTCACTTCTTCGAGAATTACACTCAATTTCAGAACAACAAAAGGAAAGTAACTTTTTATAATTTTTATTTATACACTTCATGATTAGCAGCGGCAGTTCTAGTATGAATATGCCTAGAGAAAACTTTATTTGATCTATATTCCGTGATCAAAAAGGCCGCCTTTATGTGTGAAAATTTTTGAAGTTACAATCAAAAAATGTTTCTACGCATGCTCGTATTTTAGCTTTATCAAATATATATTTTTCAGCATTAGTTTGCCGGATGAACTGATTTGCTTAGGATGCTGACAGTAGTTTACGAACATGAATCTAAATTACTATTCAACATCTTTTGCTTCAAGTTCTTCTTTATACGTCGAATCAATCGCTAATTGAATGAGCCATATTCACAATTCGCTTGTTGGTCACCTGACAGTAAAAATAGTACGCCTAGGGAGCTAATACGTTGTTAAGGATGGCTCCTCTCTTTTGATCTTCTTTCTCTTTTCTTCTCTTGCAGAGAAGTTGTTCATCACTGAACAATACCATCGTTTCATTTCTTTTATCTTCTATTTTCTTTTATGTTTTCTCCATCTTTCTCAACATAAGCAATCGATTCAACTGCAGAAGGGACAAATATATACATATTATATCAATGAGAGAGATAGGAAACAAGTAAAACATAATTTAATTTTGCAGTAAAATAATCTCACAACTAACATTGTAGGTTCATTCGCATACGACACCGTCCATCTTGTTTTAAACAGAAACCTAATAAATAGTTTTAAATGAATAAACAGAGCATAATAATCTTCACATATGAAGTTACACAGACTTTACTGAAAAGAAAAATGTATTTTAACAAGTAAAAATATTTTAAGAAAACAAAGATGTATCAAATAACTTTGACAAGACGTTCCTTAAAATGATCAAAATTGATCTTTTTATTCTAATCAATCAGATAACATTAGCTACTCGATACTTCTTCAGATTAATGACACTTCCATACACATACTCTTCCATGTGTTCTGCCAATTAAACTAATTTATGTTTAGGATGCCGACTTAAATAAAAGAAATCATTCTCAGCAAGATATGATAGTTTCAAATAGCGATTATCAAATTGCTTTATTTTTAGGCTCATATTAAATTTCAAGTTAAAGATGGCAATTTAACGACAACAGGCAGAATTACAAATGGGATGCAGCGAAATTTTTTTAATCAAATACCTTTAGGAAGAATTTTGTATGGTATACCAACACAAACATTTGGGATAATGTATTTAATTACAAATTTTCACCAACTTATAAAATTATACAGCAAACGTCAATCACACAATCAATATTTCGCGAAATTAAAAAGAGATTCTATAGAATGGGTTAAGGAGTTTGGTGGTATATTTGGAGATGCATATATTACACCATATATGCATGTACTAAGTGATCATATGCATGAATTTCAAGAATTGGATGAAGGTGGCGAATTATCCTGTTTTAATCTTCAGGGTGCTGAGAAATATAATGACTTAACGACTGTAGACTACTTCAGATCAACAAACAAACATCACAATTCGACAGAACAAATGATTAAAAAAAAATTCCAGCAGGCATACATGTTACTGAATGAAGAAGAAACAGAAGCATTATTCAATGATATTAATTTAAAAAATTTGCCTCTTAATTCCTTCTACGATCATGAAACTATATATGTGTTTTTGCCTTCATAAAAACCAAACTCGAAATATTCCATGTATAATCTAATTTTTCTTCTGTTTTTGTGAAAAAACTTTTCCTTTCGGTTCTCTTTATTTTAATTTGTACTTTTTCACCTGGCTACATGTTAATAAAAATCCTTTGGTGAATTGTTCAAATTCGTTGATCCAAAAACAAGTTTACTATATCAAAAAACTATGACCCAATATGTCGCGATATGTGAAAACAATGATAATAGAAAGAAGTTTGCTAAAGAAGTAGTGATGAAGAAGTATGTTGATCTCTCTGTTCATATAGCAGCCGGTCATGATGCCGCGGAAAAACATTAGAACTGAGTATCCTCTAATATATTTATTTCACTTCATTAAACTAGTAGATTATTGACTATATTTATTCATATCTACATACAGGAGAAATATATTAGAATAGCAATACAATATAGAAGATCAAAAGAAAAAGAAATATAATAGCGGCATGTTTCATCTCTATAATTCAGAGATTGATGCTTTAGAGTTGCCATTTAACGTGTTTTTTTTGTTCGTAACCAAGCGACGAAAGAGGAGCATAGATTCCAAAATTCACTTAAAAAACAAATAAAGTCAATAAATATTCTCAAAAAAGTTATAAATAATTACTAATTATACTAGACATTATCTTCTTTTCTGAAAAAAAATTGCTTTAGTCGAGGAGCGCTATGTTCGATGGAAATAAACGGTACTCAATTTTACCTAATTACAAAAAATTATATCTCTGCAACCATTATATGTATAAAGATGAAACTTTCACAATATGTGTAAGTATTAGTCATAATTCATATCCTAAAATTTCAGCTCGATCGGTCTGGCGCAAAAAAAGTCGACTTTTCAATCTCTCTCATAATGCTAATTGATTTTGATGAGCTATTTTGTCAAGATATGATTGTGATGATTCACCACGATCAAGTTGAAAAAAAGCTTTGATTGTCTATATTTTTTAAAAGTACCACTATGTAGAAATTAATATAACTATTGTTTATTTAATTATAGTAGTTCAAATCATACATATATATTTAAGTAGTAGTCAGAAATAGAAAAATCCTTATTGATCTTTACATCATTAGACATCATTCAACTTCCTCTTTTTTATTTTCTTTGCTTGAATTCATTTGTGTCTGTGACGTCATTTTTACTTATATTTCTTCCTCGAAAATAAAATCAATAAGAACTGAATAAGACATGAAGGAATGTTATACATTATAGTAATCATTCGGCGCATTTTTTTAATAGAATGTAATATGTGACGAATATTGTGTCATCGATGTAGGTCGATTAAAAATATTCGAAGAGGAACAGTTGAAAAAGGAAGAGCATGTGCAAGGTTAAGTATTTAGTTATAATAGTAATCTACGCATCACATACTCCTACGATATTTCGTTGAAAGTAAATTAATACTATCATAATATCATCAAAAGTAAATAAAAACTAATGAATAATCTAAAAAAACAAATTCTATTGGAATATTACAGTTTGATGATCTCTTCATTTATATCAATTCATGAATAGTATATTTGTAAATAGCACTAGACTGCATGATCATGAAGTAAAAACAAAAAATATTTTGATTTAGTATGCAGTTTCTTTTTATCAAAATGAAAATTAGATTTTTGTAATAAAAATGCATCGGATAAATTAATCATTACATTATATTGGAATAAACATTTCTAAAAGCATAAATGAAAGTATATTAATATTTTTCATACTGAAAAAAGATGTTTATATGCTATTATTTCTTAACTGAATCATTTGAATATTCTAATTAGCCCGACTTGTTTTGGTCTAATTAAATAAAATATGTAAGGTTCTAATCGTTACATTATTTCTATGAGCAATTTATCTTTTAAAATTCAAATAGAGATGAACACAACACAGGACATCGTTTGCAGCTTCATCCTGTCTTGCAGAAGAGTTGAAGTCCTTATTTCGAATTTCAATCATCAAAGTACATAATAGCTTATTAATTATTTTATAGTTAATTTATTTAAAAAAAAACAACTTTAGTCTTGAATAACGATTGATATGATAAAAATATAGACATATATAGAGTTATTATTTTAATGGTCTGTTCATCGCAGAAAATAAATATAAAATACGAACTTGTTTGGGTTTATTATCATTATCTTAGTACATAATGGATGCTATTAATTAAGCAAATAGAACAATGAAAATGCACTTGATGACATAAAAATGATACAAAGGAAAAGAAAATTATACACAAAATCATTAAGAAAAACAAATGGTTTTATAATAATATTTTATTTAATAGGCTACTCCTGAGAATTGTCTCCCTATATTAGCTGATGTAGAAGGTATCAAGTGAATAGATCGGGTATATCTGAACAAACGTGGGAATTAGCCTTGATGCTCATGTTAAAATGGCAAAGAATTAGATTCTGATTTTGATTTATCAAGTTTGTCGACTTTTTTACAACGAGATGAATCTGCTTCAATTTCTTCTTATTCATCAACATCAAGACTGCTTGATTCAAATCTACTAAATAAATCTTTTAAAAATTTCTTGTGTAACATTTGTCAATGTGTTGTTGATTTGATTCAGAATTGTATTGAACTGTTATCATGTAATGTATGTTAACATCATTATAAACAGTGTCTATGTCACAGTACAGACCAAATGTTTGTCCAGACATAAATTTCACTCTTTCAATATTCAGATTATAGTGGAAAATTATGCATTTTCGTTGCATACATTGTAATAGGGTGTGGATGTGGGGTGTGGGT